TAACAGACAAGACTCACCATCAGAAACTCTTCCCTTAGTCCCATCAACCCCACTTTGTCTCGCTGAACAAGTCACCCCGTTCTCATTCACTCTTGCACGAAGGGCAAAATCTGTACCCTTGGAGATGCAGAAGGAGATATGGAGGAGCCAGGAGGTGATGTGGTGGCTGAGCCCACACCAGCAGCACAGCTCCAGTTTAGCCTTTTCTTTGCAAGCGCTGCCAGCAGTCTGCCTGTGCACGGCTTTCTGTGAGTCTCACCGACACATCGGTGAACATTTAACTCTAGGACTTCACCAGATCAAATGCTGAAAGAGTAAATATTTCTGCCAGGGATCATTACTTTGCTTTCTTCCTTTGTTTGCACTGGAACAATAGGAAAAGGAAAAAAAAAAAAAAAAAAAGGGGGGGGAAGCCTGTACAATTTAACAATGCTGCATTGAGAGAGACAGTGTCTGATATCACAGGAATGACCCTCTTCTTGCCCCCTAATTCTTGTCTTTTAGAGCCAGGATGATATTCCACTGCTGCTTGCAGCAGGGATAAAGAAACGTGGAGCTGTGGCTTTGGAAGAACATTTCAGATCTAGTGAAAGGCACTTTTGACCTTGGCATAAGAGCTGGGCCAAAAGTGCTGGTGCTCAAGGGAAAGAAAAACATAAAGAGAGAAGCCTCCCATGTCTGACAGTAGGGTAAAACACTCACACGGGGGATTTTGAACTCAGTTGACCAACATCCCTTCTAAAAGAGCCAAGGAGTTAATGTTCCCTGGGCAGAAAATACCACGTTGTAAGCACAGATTTTTTGGAACACTTCTTAATTTGACGAACAATATTTTAGTGAGGTCCGATTACTGATACTCTCAGCGTGTCAAATATATTTGGATAGCTGTGAAACTGAAAAAGCAGAAGTGTTTGATAAATATTTCCTGCCTGTATTTGGGACAAAGTTGAATGCCGTTTCCACATTATATAATCATGACGAAACGCTTCCTATTCAAGCAACTTGAAAAAGAACATCAAACAGCACAACTAACATTTTAAAAGCGACGCATTTAGAGGACTTGCGTGTCGGCGTTTTAAGAGCTGGTTCTTCAGATGACTGTTCTCACATTAGGTGGGAATGTGAGAGTTTAGAAACAGTCCAGGAGACCATTTCTAAGAAGCAAAACAGTGTTGTGTCAATATTTGAAAAATGTGACTGAGGTAAGCCCACGTAATTTCAGGCTGGCTACTCCAACATCGCTCCTCACCTAGGTATAATGAAGTGGTTAGCACCAATTAATAAGGAGGTGGAGAGTGGGGATGTGATGAAACAGCAACCAATAGTTATCATGGGAAGTGGTTCCTGACAAAGCACAAATTTAATCTTGTTCTTTAATAAAATCATGGGGAATGTTGATAGCAGTAACTGTGTTCACTCAGTGCTGCACAGTATCCAGATTTGAGGGAAAAAAATTATACAAAATCAATATGAGTGCGTAATAAATGGTTTAAAAATAGCTAATGGAAAGATCTTAAAATGGCTTTGTTATAAAGGATTCATCAATGAATAAAGATTGTTTCTAATGGATTCTTGCAAGCACTTGCCCTTGTGCTATTCATTGTATTTTATTTAGGATGTACAAGAAAATACAAGATGATTGCATCATTTGTGAACTCTGACAGTTTCAAAACTAACTACACTACTTAAAATTGCACTAATGGGAGTAGCTTGCCTTGCAAACAGAGACTGTTGGGAGGAAGATAATTAGGAGAACTTGGTTAAATAAGCTTATTTAAAGGAAGTGCAAAGTCCTACACTTAGGAACAAATATCCAGCACAGCACAGGATCATCTAGACTTAATCTCTAAATGTAGAAGTGCCTCTTGGTTAGTCCATACCCTGGAAAGCACCAGATTGTACTGTGGAAAACTGTACTTCAGGGACATTTGCAGGGAGGTAACGCCAGTGCGATGCTGTGGCCACCAGAGCTAACAGCAACCTCAGGCAAATGAGCAGGATAAATAGGAGGCATTGCTGAGTTTCATTGTTGGTGAAGCTGCTGCAGAAATGCAGAGTCCATTTCTTGTGTGCAGATTTTTTTTTTTTAAGTAATGTTAAAACTGGAGGATATTCAGAGATGATTGGCAGTGCATTATACTTTCAGTTACACACATACTCCCTACCTTCACGGTACCTCTTTTTCTCTTGGACAAAGGGAGGTCCTTGGGAGCTCCTCATGGTATCTCCCTACATCTCTTCCAGGAAATTCCCAACTGTATTAACTCAGCAGAAAGGAAACATGTATCCATACATGGCTATGGAAATCTTCTGTGAAGGTCTCGTTCTAGGAGGATCACGTGCTCTTAGTCTGCACAGAAACTCACAGTTATATAAATGACATAACAAAACAAAGGTAACTTTGATTTAAAACTTCCATATAGACACATTCTTCCACATTTATTCCACTGTAAGGTAATTTTCCTCCTCTGGTGGCAAAATAAGTTTATACATTTGGTCATATTTTTCATTTCATGTAACTCTACAGTGATGGAACCCGAGTCCTGTGTCATGCCAGAAACTTTCAAGCTCCTCCACACCTGTAAGCTCAGAGCTTCTTAACAGTAAAAAGGGGGAAATACTCCTTTTTTTGAGCTCAAATGAGAGAGGTATGGCCTCTCAACTTCATTCATACCAACGCACCCCAGCAAAGATCTTCCTCAAAAATCAAAGAGAAAGACATTAGGAGTCTTTCAGGAGGGGCTTCAGGCTCTGGAGTTCCCTTCACTTTGCCTTTAATAAACCAGTTTTCAGGCCACGTGTCTCCACAGGTCTCCGAGATGGCTGTAATGAAGAACAATCACATTGCAACTCTCCGTGCTGTGGTTCAGCTTGCTGATGATGAACCACTCATGCTCAGTCTTCCTATTGTCTACAGAGAGACTGTGCACAAGAATGTAGCATATGGAGAGCAGACACATGCCCCCAGAAACACACAGCAAGAAATAAATCAAATCATCTGAAAGAATATTTTAAAAAGGTAAAGAACATTTAAAGTGCCCCTTGTTGATTTGGGCAACCTTTCCTTGATGTCAGACAAGGAGCAAAAGGAGGGAGAATTTGAGTAGGATGACATGAAGAAGGGTGAAACACCTGTTGAATGAGGAAAGATGGTGAAATCCCCCCGGGCTTTGATGGAAATTAGGGTAAAAAGTGAAAACCCTACAATCTGTGCTTTCAAAGTGATCTATACAAGGTAGGTAACATTCCCTTTTTTTCTTCCCCACCGTGGAGAAAAATCTGGGACAAAGAGATCACCTTGTGGAGTTCATTAGAAATTCAAAAGATAAGTTAAACAAACAGATCATGTCCCTGTTGCTGGAGCAATGTGGTCAAACAAACCAGCACAGCCTCCTCCCCTGACTTCTTGCTTGTCCCTTGTTTATCTCCTCTCTTTTTTCTTCTCTTTCTCCATTTTGAAAAGGTAGAACAAGCACACACACAGCTCCTGTGGCGGGGACTTGTGAATGCTTCTTGGAGCTTTGAGGACTGAAAAGCGTTGCCGACGCGTTCAAGGATCTGTGTGCAGTCTTTCAGCATGATTTTAATGACTCAGGGAAACAACACGCCAGCAGTGAACTTTTTTAAAAGCTTGACCTACCCTTCCAGCCTGAACTGAATCTGGCCTCTCTCTGGCTTTTAACGCACTCCATTAGCAGGATTCCCCGGCTGAAACGGGATGTAGGAGGTAGGGCACAAACCTATTTTTGGATATACAATGTGAGTCCCCTTCTCGCTGGCAACTGTAGGATGGAGACAAGCAGAATGTGTAGGAGACAGGGGAATCAGGGAACACATGCACTGTACCCTGGGATTTTTTTCCACAGTTGACAGAAGGACTGTGAAAGGGGGGTTTGCTGTAAATCAAGAAGGAAAATGACACACACAGAGATTTAGGGGTGGGGGCACACAAATGTAGATGATGCTCAAGCAACCACTTTCCTTCTTGTGTTCTAACTGTACATACCCCCACCTTAGCTGCTTTTAGGTGGGGTAAAACCCACGCATCCACCACAGGCCAGCACAGGTAGTCAGGTGTTTTGGGTAATTGATGTTCAGAGGTGACATCTAGTTGTCTCCGCTTCTCCTGTTCTCCCCTTAGGAAAACGTGTGTGTGTGTGTGTGTGTGAATGAAGGTTGGGTTGGGGGTACAATCTGCACACAGCTGCACCCCCCCATCAGGCTGCAGGGTGTACATGGCTAGAGGTGACAGATCAACACCCTGTGATGTGTATATGGATAAGGCAGCAGGGACATTGTACACACAGATGTGACGAATGTGGAGGTATCAGCTCCCTCGCCCTTCGAGGTGTAACTGAGATAGGAGTATTACTCACCTTCTCACCGCCTGCTTTCCCCTGGGCGTGTTGCAAAAAAAAAAAGGGGGGGGGGGGGG